AGCAGCTGAGAGAGAGGACAAAAAGCGAAGGAGCTAGGAAGGAGACAGGAGGGAAAACCAGCAGAGGTCAGTCAGAGTAGAAAGAGCAGCAAGAGCAAGCACACACACAACTATCCTCAGAACCCAAACCTATCACAACCATCCCAACACACAATACAATCCATACCCCAGCTTCCACCCAACCCCAACCATAGAATCCCACAGTATGCTACCAGGTATCCCCCCCACAGGCCCCCAAAACACGTGTTGGAAAGGAAACTGAAGGTATGGTACACAAACGCTGATGGAATAACAAACAAGTGGGAGGAGTGGCACGAAAGAGCAAAGAGGCATCACCAGACATCATAGAAATCACAGAAACCAAGCTTACGGGTATGATAACAGATGCCATCTTCCCAATGGGATACCAGATCCTGAGGAAAGACAGGGGGGAAACGGGGGGGGAGGAGTGGCATTGCTGTTTCAAACACCATGGAATTTTGATGAGCTGGAGAGAGGAGACAACGGAGAAGAAATGATTGCATAGCGGGAACGCTTCACTCTGGGAGGTCCAAGGTGATAATTCCCAGTGATGTATAACCCACCACAGAACAGCAGGGGGCCCAAAAGGGCAAGAGTATGACGAGATCATTAGAGCGATGGTTGACACACTGGCTGCAGTGGCCAGAAGAGCTCATAAAGCAGGGCAAAGCCCCTGATCATGGGCGACTTTAACCACAAGGAGATCGAATGGGAGAACTTGGAGCCACATGGGGGCCAAGATACATGGGGGTTTTAAGATGATGGAGGTGGTACTGGAAAACTTCATCTACCAACACGTAAGGGACACTACAGAGAGAGAGGAGAGGATGAACCAGCAAGACTGGACTTAGTATTCCCCTTGAGTAGTGCAGATATTGAGGACATCACATATGAAAGCCCCCTTGGGGCCAGCGTTCATGTGGTTTTGAGCTTCGAATACACAGTAGAGCTACAAGTGGGGGGGGAAGCAGGAAGGCCAGGACGAATGAAACCAAACTACAGGAAAGGGGACTACACAGGAATGGGGAAAACTTCCTGAATGAGGTTCAGTGGGACAGAGAACTGGCAGGGAAACCATTTAAATGAGATGATGGAATATGTAGTCACAATGGCAAGGAGGCTGAGGAGAGGTTTGTACCCAAGGAAACAGGAATAATAAAAAAAGCGGGAGGGACCATGGTTCACTCAAAGATGCAAGGGGGCCCAAAACCAAGTGTGCTGGGGAAATGGAAGAAAATATAGAAGGCAAAGGACCCAGGAGAATAAGGAGAGCAGTCGTAGAGCCAGAAACGAATATGCACAGATAAGAAGGGAGGCCCAACGTCAATATGAAAACGACATAGCAGCAAAAGCCAAATCTGACCCGAAGCTGTTATCAGCCACATCAGGAAGAAAACAACCGTCAAGGACTAGGAATCAGGCCCAAGAAGGAAGGGGGAGAGACAACAAGAAATGACGGTGAAGTAGTGAGGAACTCAACAAAAGATTCAAAGAAGTGTTCACAGAGGAGACAGAAGGGTCTCCAGAAAGACGGAGAGTGGGGTACACCACCCTGTGTGGACACAGTACACACAACCGAGGAAGAAGTGAAGAGGCTTCTGAGTGAGCTAGATACCCCAAGGCAATGGGGCCAATAACATCTCTCCATGGTCCTGGAGAGGGAGCAGAGGCGCTATGTGTACCCCTAACAACAATATCAATACATCTATCGAAACAGGAGAATTGCCCGAGGCATGGAAGCGCAATTGTGGTACCAAATCTTTAAAAAGGAGGACAGACATGAAAGCACTAAACTACAGACCAGTGTCACTGACATGTATAGCTGCATAAACATGGAAAAGATTGTAGGAGAAGAATGGTAGAACATCTAGAAAGGAATGATCTCATCACCAGCAGACAACATGGGTTTTAGAGACGGAAATCCTGTGTCACAAACCTACTGGAGTTCTATGACCCTGTGACAGCAGTAAGACAAGAGAGAGAGGGGTGGGGGGATTGCATTTTCTTAGACTGCAAGAAGGCGTTTGACACAGTAAACCCCACAAGCGATTAGTGCAAAACTGGAGGACCAAGCGGGAATAACAGGGAAGGCACTGCAATGGATCAGGGAATACTTGTCAGGAAGACAGCGCGAGTAATGGTACGAGGCGGGTGTCAGAGTGGGCACCTGTGACCAGCGGGGTCCCACAGGGGTCAGTCCTAGGACCAGTGCTGTTTTTTGGTATTTGTGAACGACATGACGGAAGGAATAACTCCGAGGTGTCACTGTTTGCAGATGACGTGAAGTTGATAAGAAGAGTTCATTCGATCGAAGACCAGGCAGAAATACAAAGGGATCTGGACAGGCTGCAGACCTGGTCCAGCAAACTGGCTCCTGGAGTTCAATCCCCCCAGCAAGGGAAGGGGAAAAAGGAACCCCAGTGGAGTACAGTCTAGGGGTCAGAGACTACAAACATCACTCAAGGAAAAAGATCTGGGGTGGTATAACACAAAGGGAAATCTCCTGAAGCGCACATCAACCAAATAACTGCTGCAGCATATGGGCGCCCGGCAAACCTCAGAACACTTCCGACTTTTTAATAAGGAATCATTCAGGACCCTGTACACCCTTACGTTAGGCCCATATTGGAGTATGCGGCACCAGTTTGGAACCCCACACTAGCCCAAGCATGTAAAGAAACTAGAGAAAGTGCAAAAGGTTTTTCAACAAGACTAGTCCAGAGCTAAGAGGTATGTCCTATGAGGAGAGTTAAGGGAAATCACCTGACGACATGGAGGACAGGAGAGAGAGGGGGACATGATAACGACTTTCAAAAAACTGAGAGGAATTGAAAGGTGGACAAAGACAGGATGTTCCAGAGACTGGACACAGTAACAAGGGGACACAGTTGGAAGTTGAAGACACAGATGAATCAGAGGGATGTTAGGAAGTATTTCTTCAGCCACAGAGTAGTCAGTAAGTGGAATAGTTTGGGAAGCGATGCAGTGGAGGCAGGATCCATACATAGCTTTAAGCTCATGGTTCAGGGAGAGTGACCTAGTAGCGACCAGTGAAGAGGCGGGGCCAGGAGCTTGGACTCGACCCCTGCAACCTCAACTAGGTGAGTACAACTTGGTGAGTACACATATATACATATATGTGTGTGTGTAAACACAACATCTAAGTGGCACCTACGTCTCATATACATAAGGGTCATATTGGGAAGCCTCATTGAGGAGTTCTTGGGAAACTACTCAAAAAATGCATAAAAACGGGTTTTGCAAAGTTGTTAAAAAAAAGTTTACAGAGAGAAAGTGATTTTAAAAAGTTGTGTGTACGATATAAAGAAGTTTTGAGGAAGAGGAGGAGATAGTGAAAGAAGTAGAGACAGTGAAAGAAGTAGAGACAGTGAAAGAAGTAGAGACAGTGAAAGAAGTAGAGGCAGTGAAAGAAGTAGAGGTAATGAAAGAAGTAGAGGCAGTGAAAGAGTTGAGGCAGTGAAAGAAGTAGAGGATGGGGAAAGAAGTAGAGGTAAAGAAAGAAGTAGAGGCAGTGAAAGAAGTAGAGGCAGTGAAAGAAGTAGAGGCAGTGAAAGAAGTAGAGGCAGTGAAAGAAGTAGAGGCAGTGAAAGAAGTAGAGGCAGTGAAAGAAGTAGAGGCAGTGAAAGAAGTAAAGGCAATGAAAGAAGTAGAGGCAGTGAAAGAAGTAGAGGCAGTGAAAGAAGTAGAGGCAATGAAAGAAGTAGAGATAATGAAAGAAGTAGAGGCAGTGAAAGAAGTAGAGGCAGTGTAAAGAAGTAGAGGCGTGAAAGAAGTAGAGGCAGTGAAAGAAGTAGAGGCAATGAAAGAAGTAGAGGCAGTGAAAGAAGTAGAGGTAATGAAAGAAGTAGAGGCAGTGAAAGAAGTAGAGGTAATGAAAGAAGTAGAGGCAGTGAAAGAAGTAGAGGTAATGAAAGAAGTAGAGTCAGTGAAAGAAGTAGAGGTAATGAAAGAAGTAGAGGCAGTGAAAAAAGTAGAAGTAATGAAAGAAGTAGAGGCAGTGAAAGAAGTAGAGGCAGTGAAAGAAGTAGAGGCAATGAAAGAAGTAGAGGCAGTGAAAGAAGTAGAGGCAGTGAAAGAAGTAGAGGCAATGAAAAAAAGTAGAGGTAATGAAAGAAGTAGAGGGAGTGAAAGAAGTAGGGCAGTGAAAGAAGTAGAGGCAGTGAAAGAAGTAAAGGCCGGAAAGAAGTAGAGGCAGTGAAAAAAGAAGTAGAGGCAGTGAAAGAAGAGGCGGAGGCAGTGAAAGAAGTAGAGGCAGTGAAAGAAGTAGAGGCATGAAAGAAGTAGAGGGAGTGAAGAAAGAGCAGGGAAAGAAGAAGGGAGTGAAAGAAGTAGAGGCAGTGAAAGAAGTAGAGGCATAAAGAAATAGAGGGAGTGAAAAAAGTGAGGGAGTGAAAAAAATAGAGGCAGTGAAAGAAGTAGAGGCAGGAAAGAAGTAAAGGGGTGAAAGAAGTA